TGTTAGAAAGACCGAAATTCAACGTTTTTATAACCAATTTGCCATTAATTCCGAGAACCCACTCTAGCGAGCATAAAATGCATATCTTTATACGCGCGCAAACACATATATAGCAGAGAAATGGAGAGGAAGTACCTCGATAATACTAAAATTCATTAAAACCTCACGAGAGTTCCCTCGAGAAAACCAAAATCGCTATAATTCTACAAGAAACCCCAAAAGTTTGAATCTTTCGTTACAGAAAATGATATAAAAAGAGCCGATAAACAAAATGGAAAAAGCAACAGAAAGGATTACTTGTTCCTCTTTCGTTTGCCCTTTCCTTCACTAACTCGATTACTACACAAATGCATATAAATTGTGACGGAGAGGGATGGAGAATGTGACAAAAATGTGATTGAAGTCAAAGAAAATGCCAACAAGGTAGAAAAGAGCGGACAAAAAATGATGAGGAAAAGAGAGGGGAGGGAGTTAATGAAAGAGTGGGGCTTTAAATTCAATTGAATTTAACTGGGATTTGGCGTCCACATGCATTCCCACGGAAAATATTTTCAAGAATCGTTTAATTTTTTCACTTAGAAATTTGACCTATAATACTCCATCCGCGATACATTTATTTTCACATAAATCAAAAAAATATAATTAATATAAATATAAGCCAGCCTCATTTTTAGGTTAATATGAATTTTGAAAGGGAAAATTGCGGCCGTGGTCCCAAATCTTTCATTTTGTTGTAGATTACACTCAAACTTTTTATTTTTGCGGTTGAAGTCCCAAACCTTTATGTGTAGTTCCAACGTCGGTCTCAAGCCTTTAATTCCGTCTATAAAACCGTCAGTCAACGTTTCAATAGTAATTTTGACTCGAAAAAATTGCACTGCTGCTCCCAAACATCTCATTTTGTTGCAGATTACACCCAAATCTTTAATTTTTGCGGTCGAAGTCCCAAACATTTATATATAATTACAGCGTTGGTCCATTTCACGCATTTCGTCCATAAAATCATCAATCAATGTTCAAACAGTAATTTTAACTCAAATGACATCTTAGCCCCTGTTTGCCCCCCATTAATTTAAATTTTTGGGGGGTAGATAATTTTTAGAATAGTGATTGATGGGAGATGTGTGGTTGAAAAGTTTTTGATTTGTGTGTATTATTATTTTATTTGATGAATGTATGGTTGAGATGAAGAGA